CCGCCGAATCTTTCATTACGGCATGACCAAATCGGCCGATATTGACAACGGTATACAATGTGTTTATACAGTGAACAGAATGTCATATTGTATCGATATGTCATAATAATAATAATATAATAATTTAATTTTTTTTCCTTCGCACAATCGATTCGACTTGAGGAGGAGACTTTAACGAGATACTGACCGTGCGAAACGCACAATACATACTTGGGCGGAGGTCCAAGTCTTGGGGGGACTTATTTGTAGTAATAATATTATACACACACAAGTGTGTGTTCAGCAGGCATGGTAATATTATAATTTTTTCAAATATTTTATCTTGTGTACGGCGTGCGCTGGAATAATTATTATTCTTATTATCGTCGTAGACCGGCTGCACACTGCGATGAGTCGCCTATTGTCTCCTCTTCAAAACAACACCCCCCGAGGACGGTCATTGTGTGTGTGTGTGTGTGTATATTTGTACTTACACACCATAGAGACATCACCGGCGCAGTGCCATTAACTACGTAAATAACGCACGCTGGGCCGACAAGTGATGGTTTATATTATTATAAACCATAATGTTATGCGTTCGTCTGTATGATAAACAGATTAAACACAACGTAATGTGCGCTTTGTTCGGTGTTCTTCTTCTTCAAGCACCTTGGCCACCGTCTCTCCCAATTTCCCGGCCGTAATCCTCGTTACTTTTGTCACTAGACACTGACTCCAACGTGGCCCGCCGTGTTCCACTCGTTCACTTCGTATGTATGTTTATTCTTATGGCCGAGTGCAGTGACTAGGGAGTCTAGGAGTTGCATCAATTTTGGGGGAAATGACAGAGAATAGGTTGAGATGGTTCGGTCATGTTATGAGAAGAGATGAGGCAGAGACAATGGATAGGTAGAGGACTAGGGTGGCCAACCCCGTGTAGTTTGGAGTGTAAGGCAAAGAAGAAGAAGACTACTTATGTATGCTCAAATTCTAAGGTCAGCCAAATTTCCTCTGTTTAAGATATCGTGCGGTTGCTCGAGATCTATAAAGATCTACTTGCTGTAGTTATCCAGACTCCGTTCGATATGGAATATAAATTATGGTCTAGGAATCGACCGAATCATCAGTTGGTGCAAGTGCGATCGACCGGCGATGCTGTAACCTGTTTGTACTTTCAATGAGCACATATTTTTATTCCTTGGTGAGGTTGTTAATCGACGTACGTCCGCGGTAAACGGTTTACATTCTACACAACAGTCCGACACGACGGTGCGATTTCAAGGTTTTGCGCTTCCTAGACCATAAAACAACAAGGCAAATAAAATACCCGTTGCTCGAACGCGGGATGTCCGAGTCATTGTTTCTTTAAAAAGTGTTTGAACACTTACACGGGTTAAACACCGTTTTCGAGTGCGCCGCCGCTTCGAGTCTGAATGGATAATAATATTCCCATGAGTGTATATATGTACTATGTTATACGGCCGGCCATAAAACCCGTACGGTTCGGGTTACCGGACTCGGTAATGCGTTTTTGGTGGCATAACGGTTGTGCGAGCCAATCCGAGCACCGTGTTGGGCCTATACAGGGTGTCCCAAAAAGAATGGTGGGGTTTCAAACGGAACTTGACAACTCCATCTTTCATTCAAGCCCTACCGGAGCGCTGTAGGTCCAATACTTTACAACCTACAGCCGTTTGAAACCCCGTCATTTGTTTTTGGGACACCCTACATTCTTCGGTAACACGTTTTTTATTTAGAATTTGTAAAAAAACCACTCTTGATTTTGCGAACAGTGGCCGAGAACTATTTGCCACCGCAAGAGGTGCAGCAGCGTTCCTGGATGAGTTTTTTATTATTCATTTTTTTTTTTCTTCAATTTTATTACTCCCCGAGGCGATTAAACGAAAAACTCATATTATCATGTAGAGGTACCTACCCAAGACCGGTGTGACAATCCGTGGTAACGCGTATCGTCACGTCCGTCTACGCATATGTATATCCGTGCACATAAAACCCCACATCGGTGGTCACGACGCCCGGAGACTTGAACTTGGCTAGCATTTACCACACACACACACACATCATTACAACCAGCATAATAGATAATATTATACAGACATTATCCTTGAACTTGAGGGGGCGAACCGTAGCTGTATCCATAGCCGTCGTCTCGGTTGTATTGTTTTCGCACCGTGCTAAACGCGTTTATTCACGGCAGTTTCACACCAGACACATATTATTATTGTCCCCTCGACAAACGGAAGTTTACAAAACCGATCGATTTAATATGGGCTTTTTTAGATGGTTTTTTAATTTAATTTTTCTACATCCCGTCTATGACTTGTGTGTGTGTGTGTGTGTGTACACAAACCTTGCGCAAAAACGGTCGATTTCGTCGGCTAACTCGCAATCGCCAGACACTGCGCTCTCAAAGGAATACATAAAAAAAAAATAATATCATAATAAAAAAGAACATCACGACTTAAGGGGGCGAACGACTCGCCGTGCCCGACCACAATGGGAAACGACAAAGACTATTTACTGAACATAAACGGTTACTATATAGGTAAAAACTCTTGAAGAGTTGTGACGCCAAGGAAGAAAATAGATAAAACAATATTCCAATATCAAATCCGTCTAGAAAATGTATTCACAAAGAAAACGGTTTTATTATATTAGGTAGTACTTAAAAAAAAACTCATAGCTCACAACAATTTGATAGTATTGCACTAGTCAAAGTCTCCAGCGAAAACTTTAGTTGTAACCATTAAGTTTATGGGGCGATTGTCAAGCAAATTATTACTTATTGTTATATAACTTTTTTTTTTTTAATAACCAAAAATATGAGTTTCGAAACGAGAATGACAAATTGAACCTACCAGTCGCTGATAACCAGTTTTGAATAATTACATTTGGGAATATGATTAGCGTTGGAAATCCATAATATGAGAGGAGAAGCGGATTCGAGTAGTGCACTTAGACAGTGCTGACTGCTCTCTCTCTCTCTCCGCCTACGCTTTTAAACGATTATAATAACTTGAAGAGTGATTTTTCAAAACTGGTTGTCGTTATCGTTTTATTGACCCAACTATCGGTGACCATTACCACAATTATTACCGCCATCTTAAAGAAATATGTTTGATTTGACCAAAATCTTAGGTCTAGCACAGACGCCGCCGTTAAGTTCATTTCGTCCCTCGACCGACCCTTAAAAAAACCGTGAGTTTTTTTTTTATTCAAAAGGTATGATAGATACCTTACACAATATGTCTATACAGATGAACTGGACGGGTTTAACGGGCACGCACTGAGGCGAGGGCAGGGAGGCGCTTAACTGATTTTATCGTGTCTCTAATCATTCTTAAAATATGCATGCGTATTAACGACCGCTACCAAAATGGACCTCAATCATAATAATAATATTTGTATATTTTACCTACTCGACTACTCGTATAATGTTTTACATTAGCCCAGGAATGCGGCCGGAGATCCTCGGTCGCTTGTGTTTCACTTAACATACTATTTTTAATGTTTTTAATATTTTGTAACGATTAGGTAAACCGTTTTTACCACGCTTTGTTGTTAATATATTATAATATATATCCCAAAGGATGTGATACAACGCACCTACCCAACAAACGAAGGACAAACAGAAAAACGACTTTGGCATAATGTACATTTAATGTACTAGAGAATTAACGCCGGTAATTCGCCCAAGACATCATTGTGTTTTAAAATAACTTAACAAGCGTTTTTGTTCGGATCTTGAGCGCTTTAATGGTATTGCTACACACGAAACAAGTGAAATAGGTAAGAAATTGCACAAATCATGCAAACACACTACAGTATTTAAATGGCGATGCGTTGGAAGAACCGCCCACGGCTGTTGTCCTTTTACGGGCTACTATAAAACGGAAATTGGGGTCCATTGTAATTATCGGTGTCATCAATTTACATAGTAATGTTTTAGTTAATTAAAAAACCACCACCAATGGTCGTTACGACACTTTTAAGCGCGGAGTACGTGCAACGTGTGTAATTGGACAGGACTAGGTGTATTGTGTTAAGTAGATGTCGATAAGACCTATAGTACAACAATGTATAAGACTGTGTACACGGTTTTCGTTTCGTTTTTAATGAGGACCTAATGATGGGCCGAGGGGGTGGGGGAAATACTAGCGTTGTTATTTATAATTATAACGTCAGTTTTTTTTTCCTTTTTATAATAGTTGCAAAAAACCAACACCATTGTTCGCCCCGCACCGTCCGAAGGATACAACGAAAAAAGAGGCATCGCGGTGCAAAATGAATACGGTGAACATATATTAAAATAATATGTAATAATATAGCGGGCAACCTTCCTCCAGTGTATGTGTATCTCAAGAACACTTTTAAATTAAAACACACATTGTTTGGGCTAACGATGGACGTCAAAACACGGGTGATTAACATCGGCCTTGGCGGTAAATTAAAATCGGTTACATATTGCGTGAATTTCCTTAGAATTAAAAAAAACATTTGTTTCGATAGTTTATGGAAGGAGAAAAAAAACAGCTTTTTTTCTATCCGACGCGAATTTCCGCAACGGTTTCTTCGTCGTCGAGAAAACAGACTAGTAAGAAATTAATACTAGAATAGATCATCCACAGGGGTGTGATCCCTGCAATTAATATAATATACACATTTATACATATTATGTATCATATATACACTCAAGAAACCGGTTAGTAATAAGTACCATTGCAATACTTTCTCTTGGCGTTGCCGAACACACAAGGTTGTGTCGCCGACGTTTTGTAGGTGGTGTTTTTTTTTTCTTCTATATTATTATTACACGTTATTATGTGTACGATGAACCGCCGTCGTGCTTTTCCGGTTTTCAATGTCGCTTAACGTTTCATTAGGGAACAAAAAAAACACATCATCTAAACGTCTTTAGGCCTAACAGGACCTGATGTATCCTCGAGAGACGACGGTAATTAAAATGATACTAAGTACTAACAGTAGTAATAATTACTCACCAAACTGACGAATTGCCACAGCCACAGCACTGCGGGCAGCAGGCATTTCATTTTCACTGAAAAAAACCAAAAAATAAAACAATGAGTCATTATTATAGTATATTAATTAATGGTAGTCGCCTAATAGAAAATTCCACGTGGATATTGCTCGGCGGTCATTGTGATGACTCTGTCCGGTCGCCGGTTGATGTACCGTGCATATTAAACAGCCTAAGTATGATAATAGTATTACTGTACACGGTGCAACAATCGTTTAACGGTTTGATATTAATTTTAAATCGAGCACGGGTGTCGCGTGTCCCGGGACAAACGGGCGTTCGGTAATTAATTTAATGTACTTTCCAATTTCAATACGGTTTCATTGAAAACCAGTTCGTGATCTGCTCCGAGTGCGGTGTTTCTTGTGTTTTGTACGCCAAAAATCTGGGCCAATAGTCTTAGAGGGAATGAGGAGGAGGAGAGCAGGGTTACTGTCATGCCAAATATGAAACACACGCCTTCTTCGTATATCACCCACGATATCTTTCACTACATCGGCGGCTCCCATACGTCACAACAACGTTGTGTTTCACTTTCTATTGCCCACTTTGTATTTTAAAGACAATTGCCCGTTTGTTTTTACTATAGGTACCTAATATTGTGTTGTACAATACCGCCGCACAGTGGTCAATGGACCGCTCGTGCGAATCAAAGCAAGTAGTGTAATATACGTCTTGTACTATGATCACTATACCGGATTCTACTTCGGTGGACATTATATAATATCACTAACGGCATAGTTTGAAATAGTACCCTGAAGGTACTTTATTGGGCCCAAAAATTGAAAAGTTTACCACTTCCTCTTCAAAACGCCCAAAAAGTTAGACTACAGAGGGTTTAGACTAGTTCAAATTCTTCTAAACTTGTTCAGGCTCTGTAAAAATGTCAGCAACCAATCGGGCATTGCCCCCAAATAAGGTTTATAATTTTTATTGAAATCCTGAGGGAGCTTTTAGATTAGGTTAGGTAAGGTCAGGTTGGGTTAGGTTGGACTAGGTTAGGTTAGGTTAGGTTAAAAGATCTTCAAAAGGTCTGAACTACCTTAGCCTATTATAGAAAGACTACCCACCCTAAACGCCTATCTATCAACACTCATACAAAATATACAGTTTTATAGACATTGACAATGCTTGATTAGATCACAACACTGTGCTGACATTTTTTTATTTGTTTTACCATTCGAATATATATATATATATATTTCAATAATTATAATATACATATAACATTATTTTCACAGTATGTGTACCGCGTCTGTGGAAAAAATATTAAAGCATATTCGACACATGGACAACCGTAACGATACGATTTTAACCGGATAACGAGCGCAGTGTCAAAATATTTGATACACTATGATTTTGTGGTTTTTAATAGTGTATTTTTTTTTTTGGAAAACGCATCTACAATTAACGAATGTGCAGGAAAAAAAACCCAGAGTGTGTTAACAAATGGGTTTACTCGGTACACACAAGCAGAACGGAATTTTCTCACATGTGTGTGTGTGTTTATACACACACAGTGTCGCGCTTAAGAAAATGGAAAAAAAAATCATGGAGATTCGGTCGACCGCTTTGCGGTTTTTTTTTTTCAAGTATTCATTTATCACCGACAGTATAAACAATACTGTATACCTATATGTGTATACTTAACTTGAGCGTGTTGTAACTTTGTGGATTAGTTTTGTAATCTCCACGTCAGGTATACAACGTGTGTGTTTGTCTTTTGCAGAGCAAACAACCCTTTATTCTAAACTGCACCCCCTCCTGGCTCTGTTATCTACATCCCGTGGTGACCTATGTTAACGTTGTTTTTCTTGGGGTACATCTTATGAAATCACAAACATTGATAAGAGGATTATAACATCTAGTGGTAGGTACAATTAAAAACCGCACGGATGTTTGTTGTGTGTGTCCTGTGTGCGGTTTCGACAATGTCAAGGACCGCGTTCGGATTCACTTGATCGGTTGTGCAGCCACATTGTATAAGTGCTACCGGTGAAGATTTTTCGAGTGCACCGATGACTTCCAACACCGACGTCCTTGAGTCGGTCTGATGGTCGGATCGAACACTGTTTTTTTTTTTTTTTTGTTCCCATTGTCTCTAAGCCTATTACAAATGAAGTGCACGACGATCGCTCTGACAGGAAACAGTCGGTCGACCAATTATCATACAAACAGTTCGTTAACGCCGGTCTCGATTATTATTATTATGTATTAGTTGTTGTACGTTGACACGACAGGAGGTGCTCTAATCAAATAAACCGTGTCTTCGGTCGTTGCCTCTCCCGTCGTTGAGATGGTTAGTTTCAGGCCAGAACGCTGGAGAACATACGGGATGGATCCTAACCGTACTCGGTTATTGTTGGTATCTTTAGTACAGAAAAATGTAGCAAAATCGGATCGAAGCATTCGTTAAACTTCAATGAGACTTCATCACAATCCAAGTACAGTGTGAACCAGCAAAATCCTATTCGAGAAAACGCTTCGATGTGGATACTGGACTTCACTTTGGCAATTTCTTACCACGCTGGCTAGGACAATGTTTGGTTCGGACTGTGCCGGTTTACACTGTACTTGGCGGCAATGGCGTGGAAGCTAAAAAATCGATAAAATAACGTAGCAGTGCGATTTACCTAAACGGATCGAAAACGGCAAACCGCATTCGGACCACCAACAGATATATTATAAAGGTCGGTGGAAATAGACAAGGAGATTTATCATCGCAGGGGTGTTGCATGTGCGCCGCATGAGGTGTGAGCTCCGGCCACGGTCGCCTACGCCTCGCGACAATTGATATAAAGGTCAGGGACCGACAGAAAGGTGGATTTGCAGGTGCAGGTGAACTACTAAAGGAAGAACATTTAGAGCACACCTTGCGGGGTGGCTGGCACATACTACACCCACGGGTATTTCTCGGTAATTAGGACATTCTCATGTCCTTAATACAGCCGGTTCAGGGTTTTCGGCGCTGTTGTCGTCAGACGGCTCTATAATAATTATTATGCGGAGGCCCCACTGTCGATAATTTGGTTAAAATTAATAAAAAAAAATTGCGGTTTCCCGCAAGGTCGAGAATCCGTCCAAACGTGAAGCATCGCGACCGTTCCACCGTGAACGACGGCCAACGCGGTAGCGTTACGCTAACGATACATTAATACCGGCGCAATAAAATAACACAGTAGTAAACTGAATGATACAAAAAAAAAAAAGAAGCCAGCACAGTAGGACAAAGTGGGAAAGGAAAAAATGTATAGAAGCCAAAAATGTGTTAAACAATTGTATATTTACTGTTGGGGTTGTTAGCATTGGCTCTATACGTTTAGGGTTGGTCGTCCACCTAACATCAACAACTCAATGAAAATAGTTTGCAGACACCTCTTGTCAAGGTGTAATGTCTACTATTTTTTGAGGGGGTTTCCTAAATAAAAAATTGACAGATGTTTAGCTACAATCCAACTTCCACCCCTTAAGACATACGACTTTATTTCAAAAAGGTTTTTGATACTCATTTGTTTGGTTTGTCAACGTCCAACAAATTTAGATCTAATTTGTGTTGTTTTCTTTGTCAAAATTATTACATAGTAGTATTACTATTGTCATCATCTGCCGTCACGCATTAATTGCAACTCCGGTAAGTAGTTATTGCGGTCGTCCGGAAAGTATAAAAAAAAAAGACTCGGACAAAACAATTTTTTTACCTGCACCGCTTTTATGATCGCGTCCCAGACGTCATAAACATTTTTTAAACAATTACACTGCATACCGGATAACTTTATTATTGTATATATTTTTTTCCCCTTCAATGAAAACTGCGAATTTTTTCCGGCCAAGCTCCGTTCTGTCCGACGCACTCGAAGGACTTACAAGCGCAATATATATGTATACTACTCTCGTTAACCGGATAGGAAAAAAAAATGCAATAATTGCTCTGGTAAAATACATATTATAGTATAGGCGTCTTGGGCGTGGGAAGCAAACCATTACCTCGGATCCGATCGGCATTGTCGCCCTTGATAACGGCGTGACCCTGTTGTTATGAGCTTTAATAAATAAACAAAAACCGTATAGTTCTCATTCAAATACCCTTCCACCATCCACCAAGTCAAGCGATTAAATGATAACACGGTTCGACCAAAATTTAGGGCGGGTCTTGTCCAAAAGATCAAACCAATCTTGTCCGATAGATATGTTTTTCACGAGGAATCCAAAGCTGTCTTCAAAATTGTTCTGGCACGTCAAGTTTCTGGGAAAATAAATGTTAAAATCGGAAAAACCCCTGAAAACCCTGCTATTCCAAAAGTAAAATTGTTCATAAAAACTATAGCATAATATACTCAATTTTTGATCAATGTGTTTTATTTTCAGTATTTTCAGGGTTTTAAAAAAATGATTATGCTATTATTTGTATAAGGCATTTATCGTTTCAGTGTTTGTTTCATAGCGGTTTGAATTTTATGGGAACAATTTTATTTTCAAAAATAGCAGTATTTCAGGGTTTTCCCCGACATTAACATATATTTTCTCAGAAACTCAGATTCCTCAAAATCCATTGGACAAAGTTGCTTTCATCCTTTGGACAAAAAACCCTTGCCTACATTACAAAACTGTTATTATTCACATATTGTTCGTGCTTATAAATTACCATACATTATGATATAACGAAGAACTTGATGTGTACATTACAGTACCTAGTTTTTTCTCGCACGTCTGGTAAACATTTTAAATACTTAAGTGTTACAAAAAAACTAAATTTTATTATTATTATTATTATTATTATTAGACTTGCGCAACGGTACACGTTGTGATGTACATAATAATATTAGGAATGTGTATTTAGCAACGGACCGGCTTGTTTGACAGCGACTTGTTAATTTTATGCGGGAAAAACAAACTGTATTATAACTGTTGTTTTTTGTAGAGAATTTGTTTTTAACAAAAACCTGGGCGTTTGCAATGTTTGGACAGACAAACCGTTGTGGACATATTATCATCTTTTTATGGTTTTTTTCACAGCCTCT